ATTTGAGGCAAATAAAGATGCTAATTATAGTAAATACCATTTATGGAAGCTTAGAAGGCTGGATGAACATGTTTAATCAGTACAATAGCCCAATTATGTGGCTACTATTTATTGTCCCATCTTCATAAATGAGGAAAATAGTTCTTAGGAGAGGCAACGGGGTTTAATTGAAAACCACTAGGTTGTGGCAGCACTGGGACTTGAACCTATGTCTATGGGGTTCTAAAATCAAATCTCTTAACTACTTTGATCTCCTGTGTATGCAGCTGGAGGACTTCCTTTGGGCTTTGTTCTTGGAATAACTAAAGCATGTAACCCAAACAATGAGAGCCCTGTTGAGGGCAAAGTTCCAAACCAGTTCTCCCAGCTAGGGCTGCCTCAGCTTAAACTTCAAAAGTTGTTCACCTCAGGCCTCTCAGATGCTGTCAGAAAGTCCTAAGCTAGTTACTTAATTCTAGCTCTGTAATTTATAAGGGCAGGAGTCCTAAGGTGCGCAGAGAGAAAGGCAAGTCAGTAGCAACAGAGACCTTGCTTTCCTCTTCTCACTAGGGAAACCTGACAGTCCTCTGGGTCTGCATGTCCACAGGGGCCTCCCTAGGACTACGGACTGGAATCGTGGGCAGAGGGGGTTGATAGGTGGTTTTCAGTAAGAGAACGCCTCACTCCCAGACGCACCTCTCGTGCTGGATCTGCGTGGTCATTTCAGCACCATGGTCAGGGGCGCGCAGCCGCATTTCAGGATCTCAGAGCAATTGCTAGACAGGCTCAGCTAGACAGGCGTCGGCTCCGTCGGCCTTGGCCCACTGATCCCAGAAGCAGAGGCAGCAGACAGGAGCCTGGAACTTCGTCAGGGGTCCAGGGAGGCCAAAGCTCAGGGACCCTTGGACCTTATAAGACCCCAAGGACCCGGTTCTAGTCAAAGGACATATTACTATAGATTGATTCGCCATCTACCAGCTCCTATCTACTCCTATCTACCAGCACAGAGGAAAGAGTTCCAAACTGCCAGCTTAGAACAAGGGCATCAGTCCTAGTTTGTTGCAATAACTCTCCTAGTGATTGAGGGCCTTGGGCGAGTCATCTTCTCTGTTTCCATGGATGTGACCACACTGCCTTGCCCTCCTCATTGGCTGTAGGAGGGTCCCGGAGATAAAGTGTCTAGCCTCAAGTCACTCACTGCTCACTTGGCTCTTGGAAGGCAAAACAGCCAGGTAAAGTCAGCAGAGTCACAACCCCCCACCCCATCCCTCCGCTTCCTCACACACTTTTGTGGAAATCTGTCTGCAGGGATTTTTAAAGGGGCCAGACGAAAAGGCACACAGCAGAGAGTATTCCTTACATAAATGTAATTACAACGTACCCAGCGGTTGTTCTGTGCCACATTCTCAGGTGAATCCCCCAGACCCTCCCCACACACTGTCTCTAGTCTCAGGATCTGAAGGGTTTTTTTTTTTTCACAGTTTCCGGTCTTGAGGGGACTGTGGTGCCGTTCACCTTGTGTCAGTCTTGTGGTAGGCACCCAGAAACCCAGCGAAAGGGTATTAGGAACTCCTTCCAACTTCTCTTGTGGATTAGCTGAGGCAAGGAGACTTGTCCAAGGTCACACTGCCCAGTAGTCCGCAAGGGAGAGAAGGGACGGTGTGTGCCTGTGGGGTCGCGTGCGCCACGGGCCCCGCCTACCTTTGTGCCAGCCCAGCGGCCTGGATCCCAGACATTAGCATTCCAATGGCCCCGGGACGCTTTGTCCTCCGACTGAGGCCGGCTGGGGGTGGGGTGGGATGGGGGCAGGGCACCATAAATCTACCTGCTTGTGTGCCAGCGCGGCTTGACTGGAGGGAGACGCAAGATTCATGTGCTGTTTTTCTGGAAGCCAGTCTTGGGCTCAGACAAAAGCAGAAGACTGGGGAAGAGCCATTTGACCCGAGAGTCTTTCCTGCCCGGATTTCGGACACTGTTGATTTCAGACCGCAGCAGGCTCCGCAGCCGAAGAAGCGCTGGCTGACGGTGAAGAGGCAGGGTCCGGGCAGAGACCGCTAGCAGCGCGGTTTTAAAAGCCCCAGGACTCAAAACGCTGCAAGAGGTGGAAGGCGCGGGGGCGGTGGTGCAGAGTTATTTGGACAGGCCATCCCTAGAAATGTTTCCTAGTTCTTCTTGCTGAGGGGTTCTTTGGAAAGAGGCATGGGCGAGCTTTCCCACCGCAGCGTGATTTTACACACTTAGACGGAGCTCATCCAGCACCGAACCCTAAACTTTGTCGCCGTGATTCAGAGAAACCCTAAACCCTCCTCCGCCTTCTCCCGACTTGGAGAGTGGAGCTGACAGTTCCGGGGGTCTAATTCGCCCCAACCCGAGGTGGCAGCCCAGCAGCTGAGTTGGTTAACCCGACCGTGCGTGTTTTAATTTGTGGGGCGGAGGACCAGTCTGTGTGTGTTGGGTGACTAATGGCTCCTTAATGAGCGCCCTCAAAAGCAGGAGAAGGACTGGGCTGTGGGGGAGAACGCAGCTCACCCGGTTGCCTCCTGGAGAACGTTAACCCAGCAAACGCTCCTCCAGCTTCTGGGGGCCGTTTGTACCCAGAGAGTCCCCTGCTTAAATGATGAACACTACTTCACACAGCCTTCCACAGGAAAAAGAATCTTTCCACTTGAGGAATTCCTCTCCAAACCTTTAGTCCTGGCCCAAATGCCACCTCCTCCTGCAAGCTCCCGGCACTCCAGCCCCAAGGTGGCAGTTCGATGTTCCATCCTGCGGCTCATACCTCCCCCAACCACCAATATTTCTTGGGCCTTGAGTGATTGTGTCTATATCCTTGCTACTGTTCTGCGAGGATAAAGAGACCTTCTTGATTTTTATGTCTGCCCACCCCGTACCCCCAACACCCAGCAAATCACAGGTGTTTGCTTGCTTTGTGCAACTCCCAAGCTGCTGACACCTGTCCCCAGGCGGTGCCCCAGGTGGAAAGTTGGCTATTGCAGAGGTCATCAATAACCCATTAATCTCCTCCTCCCAGATTAAAGCCACAAAATGAAACAACACCTTCGTTCATTCGTTTGTTTGCTGTGTCCCTCTTCCCGCCCCCAAATCCTGCGGCTGATAACTGAGACAAGTCTCCTCTGAGCTAACTTTACAGATTTATGGTAGAGAAGGGAAAATTTCCATTTGAATTGGGTAGGGCATAGGAGAGAAAGAGATGCAAGAGGCATTAACCCCTGAGAAGATATCACCTTTGCACTCTAATGTGCTGGAAAAGCAACCTCTCCACCAGCTCCGGGGGTCTGGCAGCACCACACCCGACCTGGGTTGGCCCACTTCTTCCCAGGACACCCCTGGCCAATTCAAGGAGGTCTCTGGAGTTCAACTAGCAGGTAGGGTGCCTGTCCTCCACTTCCCTATTCCCAAGCAGCAGGTGAACTCTGTGGATCCTTACAGCTTAGACCATATTCTCTGAGGTCCTAGGGGTCCCTGAAGTCATGTAGGGGTGTTCTACTGGCACTCCTGGGACAGATTTCAGTGCCCATGCTGCACCAGTCCTTCCACCTTGCCAGTAAGAGAGATGGTGTGGCTGGAAACCTTGAACAGTTTCTTGATAAGTTTTCAATCAAGGCTGCCAGGTAATGAGGGAGGGGGTGTTGCTGGAGATTCCAGTCAGACACTCCACCTTCTTTGCTCCTGGCTGCTCAGCTCAACAAGTGCCTGAGTAAAATATGCTCAGGGGATGTGCTAGGCCTCTAAGCACCTTGGGAAAATTCCTAGGATGCCCAGCCCAGCTGTGTTTCCAAGGACTCTGACTCTGCAATTGAATTATTGCTGTCTGCCTTCCCCAAGTGCAACCAACAGTTGCTCTAGAGCTAGGCTGGTGGAGTTGGGGAAAGGACCGGCAAGTGAGAGTCAGTAGTCCTAGCTGGAGGCTTGTCTTTCTTCTAAAGCGCTCTTTGAAATGAGAGGATTCATTGCCCTACATAGAAAAAAGGGGGCTGGACCAATAATTACTTATAAGACTTCCAGCTCTCCAAACCCAATCTGCCCTGGCTCTAGTCCAGACCTCTAGAAAGAGTGTCATCCCTCTCCTTGGACAGAGGTGCTCTTCCTCAGCTGTAGTGACTGTAGCTCTCCTCAATGCACAATGAAGTCACCTTGCCAAGGTTTCTTGAAGGTCCATTTTTTTTAATTGGCTTAAAATCTCATCCAGCAATCCCTAAATAATCTAATATACAAAATATAGACTTTTCCTTGCTGTGAAATCTCATTAATAAATACAAATGTGTAAAACGGCGGGGGGGGGGCATATAATTTACTGTACCAAACTTGATTTCAAAAGACATCATATAATTTACAAACCGATTTAAAACAAAACAAAACAAAACAAAACAAAAACATGCGCGGTGCTCCAGGCACCTGCAGCGCAGCTCACGTTTCAGGCGCAGCTCGCAGGGAGGCTGGGGAGGTGCTCCCTGGCCGGGCTGGGTTTTCCCAGTTCATAGCCTGGTCTTCCGCCCCGGGAGGGCAATGGCTCCGAAAAGTGCACGAGGAGAAGGCAGAGGGTCGCCTTCGTGGCTTTAAGGCAGAGTGAGGCGCCCTGAAACCCCGGACCTGATTGGGAGTAGAGAAGATCGGCAGCGTCTTTGGAGCAGGGCAAGGGGAGCAAGCGCTGAGAGACCAAACATCGGATTGAATCACACTGGAGGAGGGGTGGTAAGAGACTGAGAGGCAGACAGACTTGAGTGAGGGTAGGGCGACCCGAGACGGTAGGCGGCTCCAGCCGGGTAGTGCTACCATTCTCGTACTCTTAGAATGAGATTATGGCGTGGTGGCAGGGAGGAGGCCTAAAATGAGCGAAGTTTGCAATGCCCACTTCTCGCGGGCAGCAAGGGCTGCGTGAGTTGGCGCGGCTCGGAGGGCCGGGGAATGAACCCAGCCTGCAGCCCCCGTGGAGGCCTGGGCCAGCCAGGGGTCAGCCAGCGGCTACCCTCTAGGGCTCCGGCTCCCTCCCTCTCCCTTACCCTTAGCACCCACAGCCCAGCGACAGGCAGGTCCCTTCACAGAAAATCTGAGAAAGCCAGAGTGCTTGGGCGCAAGCAGGCGGAAGAGGTGGCCCCCCGCAGGCCGGGGCGCTCCTCCAGCGAAGCGGCGGGGCTAAGGCTGCCAGCCTGGGAGACTGGGGAGTAGAGGGACCCCCAGTCCCCGGGGGATCCGCCTTCTGGGCTGCCCAGCTCCCCGCAGTGCGGCGCCGGCGACTCCAATGCGTAGAAGCTGTGGTCCGCTATGCGCAGGGTTTGAGTCAGTGCCCAGATGTAGTTGTGGGCGAAGCGCAGCGTTTCGATCTTGGTGAGCTTCGCGTCATCTGGGAAGGTGGGCAGGACACCGCGCAGCGCGTCCAGCGCCGAGTTGAGGTTGTGCATTCGATTGCGCTCGCGGTCGTTGGCCTTCTTGCGCCGACTCCGTCGCTGCTTGCTTAGTGCCAACTCGCTCTTAGGCCGGCTGCGCCCCGCGCGCCGTGCCCGGAGCTTCCTTGGCGCCGCTCGGCAGCTTCCCCCTTCCGCCTCCGCGCAGTTCCCCCGTGTGCGAGTGGGGCTGGGCGGAGCGGACGTGGGGCAGGTCACTTCGTCATCCAAGGCTCTGGGGAAGGACCGCTCCGTCTCACCGGTCACTTGGACAGTGGACGCACCCGAGGGATGAGGCGTCATCCTACGGCGGGGTCAGAGGGAAGGGTAAGCTTGAGTCTGTCACTGGGCGCAGTCCGCGATTCCAAGGCTAGGTGGGAAAAAACAAAAAGAGCCATCCTCCCAGCCCCCGCCGGGTCAGAGGATCCCTCTTTCCCCTGCCCGTCCCTCAGCTGCCTCCAAATGTTACCTTTCTACCGGCGCAAAAGAATAGAGAGCGATGAGCAGCTGGGCCGTGGGGAGCTGAGCGGGCTTCTGGTCGCCAAGTTCAGCTGAGCTGCAGGCGCCCCCGCCTGGGAGTTGCCACAGCTCCAAAGGAGAAAAGAAGAGAGAATTGGGTCCCGGGCCTCTGTCGCGCTCTCTCTCGCGGCGCTGAGGTGAGACCGCGGGGATTTCCTGAGCAGCAAGTCGTGTGCCCCTTGGCACGCTTTATCTGCTTGGCCCGGGCCAGGAGCGTGCCTGCCCGGCTGCTGCCCGCGCCACCGGCCAATCAGCGCCAGGGCCCTGGGGCCGCGCCACGCGAGCCCGCTCCTCCCCCGCAGGGCACAGCTGGATTCCGGACAAAGGGCCAGGGTCGGGGGAGGGGAGCGCCGCTCTGTTTGCTCTCTCGCCGTGGGCTGGGTCCCAGCAACTCTCAGTTCCTCAAAGAGTCTCGCCCAGTGAGAAGGGCCTCGTCTGGCCACCCCAGACCGCTTTGCTCCTAGCCTATCATTACTTAGCATCTGTCCTGGAGGGGACTTTGATGCCTCTAGTGTACAATGCCCACACGTTACACATGGGGAAATTTAGGCTTAGTGAGGGAGATGGCTTGTCCGAAATCGCATAGCAAGATAGTGGCGGAGACAACCAGGAGCTCCTTGTCCTGACTAGCAGCCTGGAGAAGGGTCCAGGAATTCTAAAGTACGCCCTGCTCTCCTGGTGTTTCACTGCCTCTCTTCATTCTGGAAGACAAGGGCCATCACTGAGAGAGCTCCTGCCTATGTCCCTTCCATTCACAGACCTTCTATTGGGGGTGTCCAAGCCTCTGCCACATCCTGAAATGCTACCTCACCCTCCCCAGAGGCGCTTAGAACCCCACCCCCATAGATCCCACTCCAGAGGCAGCGGGTGGCTGTGGGGGGACCCCTCAAGGGGACATTCCATTACTACAAGCCTACTACAGCTTGTGGATAGTATCCCAGCATTCTATCTAGGAACCGTGACAGGAAGAGTTCTGGGAAGTGTGAGGAGGGGAGGAAGGAACCAGGAGTTCACAGTGAGCTCTTAAGTATTTTTATTTTTTTTTTAAACAAACAGACCAAAAAAAAACCCCCAAAAAAACAAAAAAACAAAAACAAACAAAAAAACACCAAAACCAAAACCAAAAACAAAACAGGGTCTCCTTCTGTCACCCAGGCTGGACTGCAGTGGTGCAATCATGGCTCACTGCAGCCTTGATCTCCTAGGTTCAAGCTATCCTCCCACTTCAGCCTTCTGAGTAGCTGAGACTACAGGCGTGCGCCACTGTGCTCGGCTAATTTATTTTGTATGGCAGGGGGGGGTCTTGCTTTGTTGCCCAGGATGGTCTCGAACTCCTGGGCTCAAGCGTTCCTTTCACTTCAGTCTCCCAAAGCGCTGGGAAGCAGAGCCGCGGCGCCCCTCCCCCTTGTGTCTTTTGAACCATCACGGTGTGCAGGCACTGGGAGAAGCAGATAAACTTTTTCTCCACTTAGTCCTTCGGTCCAATCACAGACAGACAGCGGCTGCCAGCAGTCACCTGCTCCAGCCCCCTGCCTCAGCATCACTCGGGCATCGCACAGTGAGAACAAGGTAGGGACTCCCCAAGCCCCTCGGGTTGCCCCTGGTAGCGCTCTCTGGAAACCTTTCCAAAGGGAGTCTGAACTCATCATCCCTCCTTTCTTCCCCAGCCCCTCCTCTTGTCCCCGCCTGGGACATCCCGTGGTCTTCTGCTTCCGGTCACTCAGGGTGAGGGGTTGCAGCTTCCGCTTCTCTCTCTTGACCCGATCGTGCCTGAAGGAAGAAGCGGAGGCCGGGTGGCGGGGGAGGTTAAGTATCCGGGTTTAAGTCTCCTTAGGCGAGGAAGGCTTCACTTTCCAGCGGATCCAGATATCCTGAGTCTCCCGGAAACTGCAGGAGGGGACAGGACTCGACTTCGAGACTGTAGGGTGGGGTGAGGGGATGAGGTAGGTCTGTGAGTCTGCCCTAGTGATAACCTCTTACCGCCCAGGCTGCTAGGGGGCAAATTTTCCTCCAAGGAAGAGGGTGATGTGCTCAGGAACCAGGGAGAGGGGTGCTCTAGGACTGGGCGGGGGTGTGGCGCAGTCCTGCCAATCTTAGAAGGTGCTCTGTGAGCAGAGGCTCCTTCCCTTGCTATAGGGAAATGAAGCCTGAGACCAGGGTCAGAATCAACAAAGGGACCATCTGGGACTGTCGGGGTAGCATTTTGCTGCAGCTCCTCCCTTAGGTCACCATTGGCTAGGAACTTGTCTTCTCCTCAAAAGAATGGGAATTCCAGGCCTTCTTCAAAGATGAAAAAGTCAAGGCCCAGAGAGGGGGAGTGACTCTCTCAAAGTCACACAGCAAGTTCTATCAGAACCACACAGAAGTCAAAGTCGTGTCTTCAGATTCCTAGTCCCAGATTTTCCCTTTGAACCAGCAACCCCTCCTTGATTTGGGGGAAAACATTTTTTTTTTTTTCCCAAGGCAAAACAACAGATTCCAAAATGCAGAAAAAAGAAGAAGTCCTGAGTCTGGGGGTCAGATCAGAAAAGAAGTAATGGTCCCATTTTCCAGGCAAGGGGAGCCAGCATCCATTCAAGCTGCTGCTGCTGCTGCTTCTGCTGCTGCTGCTGCTTCTGCTGCTTCTTCTTCTTCTTCTTCTTCTTCTTCTTCTTCTTCTTCTTCTTCTTCTTCTTCTTCTTCTTCTTCTTCTTCTTCTTCTTCTTCTTCTTCTTCTTCTTCTTCTTCTTCTTCTTCTTCTCCTCCTCCTCCTCCTCCTCCTCCTCCTCCACCTCCTCCTCCTCCTCCTCGTCCTCCTTTTCCTCCTCCAAACTTGTCTGCCTCATACCCCAGCCTTGCTTGATTTATTTACCTGCAAATCAGAAACTGGGAGAGAACCAACTTGGAGCTTTTGGGTCTGGGAGAGAAAATCCAAACCATGCTTCTCTAGGTTCTCCTGACCTGGCTAAGCTCCATGGAGGGAACCCTGGCCATGAGCGATCCAAGTACTGCTCTTGTTTCTCAGAGGCCTGTGGATGACTCTCATCTGGCAGTGGACCTCAGATGGGGGTAGGTGGACCTCAGATAGAGGTGGGTTTCACTCTGGCCAGGGCCTGCCTGGAGTGGCTAATGGATACTGAGAAGGTTGGCAGGGTGAGCTTCCCATGCCAGGAAAGACTCTGGGGATTCTTTCAAGCTTTCTTGATAGGTAGAGAATTCTGGGATCTGCTTGGAATTCTTATCCAGCCTCCCCCAAACCCCTCCGGCTCAGGGCCCTCCAGGGCTAGCAGTTCTCCATCACTCCTGCTTTGCGCAAAAAGCAGCCAAGGCCAGGAGCGCGCGGTGGCTGGGGGCAACCGCCTTCTTGAGGGATGCAAGGACTTCCCGCAGCCTTCTTCCAGCCAGGAGGCCAGGCCCGGAGGTCAAGGAGTCTTAGAGGATTAGAGATTGAGGATTCATGCCCTCTGTCTCAGCTGCAGGGGAGGCATAGACCCCTCTCCAAAGTTAATTCCTGTGCCTTTGGCTGCTGAGGCGCAGGCGGTAATGACTCCGTGCGCACCGGCGATGTTTGTGAAATGGCTCTTCCCGCAGAGAGCAGAGTCTGTTCCTGCAGCTCCTGGTCATCCACCGCCCCTAAGACCTCCAGGACTCCCGCACCCCTACACCTCCTGAGATCTAAGTTTGCCTGGAGGCTGAGGGGGTCCCGGAGAGAGGCGGTAGCCAGAGGCCTGGAGACAGCGGGCACATTGGAAAAGAAGGAAGGCAGCGGCCAGCCTTCTTGCCTTCTTGTGGGCGGGGGTAGTTTTAGCATTGCCTGGGGGCTCTTTGAGAGTTGTGCAGGGAGGGAGGGGGGCCATGGGAAGCTGAATAGCTAATGACTTGCCAGAGGAGGGGGATTCTTTCTCTCGCCTTCAGCTCAGCAGTGAAAGAGGGGAAGACAAAAATCTGGCGAGCGAGCTGCCCGGGCCGAGACTGGCCACTTCAAACAGCCCTTCAAACAAAAGGAGACGACGAAAAGAAAGCCCCACCTGTCTCCAGTGTTTGCTAAAATAATAATAAATAGATTTCGTTTAATAAATAATTACAAGAGATTGTAAAGTGGAGTGCTTTGGAAAACATCTACCACGGGAGTCCGTGCAGCCAGCCGTCACCTGCTCCTAAGGCGAACAACTTTATTGTTAAGCCACCCCCAACTAGTTCGCCTCTGATAAACTCTCCCTCATTTTCACAATGACTGTTTACTCATAGTTAGCACAATATTACCTTTGCCGTGATAAACCCGGAGGGGGGGGGACCTGGCCCCTGGCCCCTGGGCACACCTGTCCCAGAAGCTGACACATGGATTTGGCACAGAGCAGGCCTCCCCCCGGGGGCCCTGCCCCCGTGTACATTGGCCCAATTGCCACTCATTTATAACAGGTTGGCTGCAAGGCCTATCTCGGTCCTATTTGTCTTCTTTTATTGAAAGCATATGGTCTCCAGGGGCTCACCAGACCCATATTTCATCTGCCAGGAGCTAGAGCGCTTCCGCAGTCTGGTGCTGCTCAGCGCGCAGCTCCCCACCCAACGGCTGCTGCGCCAGCTGAGGGGATGGTGGAGGCAGGGTGGGGAGAGATAAGGCACACTCCTCACCCACTTTCGGAGAGAAGCCGTTCCCTCAGAGACTCCCCCTCCCCAGGCCCAGGGACCTCGTGCGCTCTTGAAAGGGTGGCCGGTTCTTTTTCTTGGGTAGGTGACAGGGCGCCATATGCCACCCCCCAGGGCGCACGAGGGAGCTCTGGCCCAGGGAGTCTTTGAACAAAGGGAAGAGAGGGCCCGGGCACTCAGGAAAGCCCGAGGTCTTTATTTCCAGATCCCCCCTCCCTGCTCAGGGCCGCCTCCCCTAGGCGTCCGCAGCTCGCGCGCGGCGCCTGGAAACAAAGTGTCCACATTATCCCCGCCGGCGGCGGAGACCGTCAATGCGTGAAAAGGTGCATTGCGCACCAAGACACCTGTTGATGCGGCGCCTCTTCTCAGCGCCCCTCTCTGCTCTGCGCTCGGTCAGGAGCCGTGCAGGGAGCGGGGGGTGGGAGGAGGGAGAGATACTGTGATTTGTGGCGACATATGTTGAGCAGATCGGTGTGTACTCTTCACAGGGACACATGCACCCTCGCTCCCATACACAGCCCGCGAGAAGGAGCAGCTGCTCTCCTCACCTTCTCCCAACATAATACCTGGGCCAGGCGCTTTGGCCTCGCCTTTTGAGAGTTTAGCTCTCCTCCACCCCGCTGTCTTCCACCCCCACCCACTGCCCCAATCTTGGCAGCTTCGCTGTAGGACTT